GCCAAATAGTCTGAAAGCGCTTTGAGTGTGCTGTAAAGCATAGAAAAGTGCTATGCAAGTATAAGATGATTTACTTCCTTGTGTTACAAGCAATCGAATCACAAACATCCAGCCACTCTGTAGCGCATGTCCAACAAATCGAATCACCTCTGTCTCATCTCACACACCGCACGTGGTCACAAAACATTCATACTGTAAATAGCTAAATTAATCCCACCAGGGCTGCAACCACGTTCTCCTCAGGCTGTAGCCTTGTTGTGACAACTATGTACAATGGTTATATTTATAAAATATTGCACTTGCGAGTTTGCTCTATTCTGTTACACAGACAAACATGGGTTAAGTGTTCATCAGAGTGATGACCCGGGGAAAGAAACTGTCCTTGTGTCTGGTTGTCTTGGTGCACAGTGACGTGTAGTGCCATCCAGAAGGGAGGAGTTCAAACAGATTGTGTCCAGGGTATGAGGGGTCTGCAGTGATCCTCTCCACCCTCCTTTTGATCCATGAGATGTACTGTACAGGTCCTCCATGGAGGGCAGGCTGGTACCAATGATTCTTTCTGCAGTCCTGACTGTCTGCTGGAGTTTGTTTCTCTCCTGTTTGGTTGCTGAGACAAACCAGACAGATGGAGGTGCAGAGAACAGACTTGATGACTCCTCTGTAGAACTGTATCAGCAGCTCCTGGGGCAGGTCGAACTACCTGAGCTGGCGCAGGAAGTACATCTTCTGCTGTGCCTTCTTGATGATGGTGCTGATGTTGGATGACCACTTCAGGTCCTGGGAGACAGTGGATCTGCTGTGTATACCTGGAACCCCGGTATCTGTATTGTGCTGTCCAAGATGGAGTAACTGAGCCAAGTCTCCGTGAAGCATAGAGCAGCAGAGCATGAGGTGTCAGAGTTTGTCTCGTTGACGAGGAGTTCATCCATTTTGTTGGCTAGAGAACAGGTCCCTCTCTATCGTAACTTAACCAGGTCCTCCGCTCTCTTCCCTTGCCGGTGTTTTCTCCAGGCCCCATAAAGGGCTGCTGCCCCTCTGACCAGAATGTCCACACAGCTTTTTGCATTAGTAAATATCTGAGAAAAGGTGTTTGGAGTGAGTTGTCTGATGTTTAGTAGCTCTTTTCCAGTAAAGGTAATCTGGGATGGGTTGCAGAAGACAAAGGCAATGAGGAAAAACAACAAACATGAGAGTGCACGCAACCAAGGCAGCCATATGTGGTGCCATGATTTTCAAAAAGGGAAAAGGGACTAAGCTGAAAAATCAACTGGACTAGGTTTTTAGGTCAAAGACATCTCACCTCTCATCCAAGAGGCTTCATCATTCCTGCCCAACTGGAGTTGAGTCGGAGATATTTATCCCCATCGGTGGTGTTTCAGAAACAAGAGGGGATAACACTGTCATCCCCTATGTGGCTGGTTTATCACAGAAGTTAAAAAGGATCTTTCGCAACCACAATATCCCAGTCAACTTTAAGCCAGGGAACACCCTGCAGCAAAGACTGGTCCACCCAAAGGACAAAACACCCAGACATAAACAAAGTGATGTGGTGTATGCAATTAAGTGTAATCAGGAGTGTAATGACTTGTACATTGGTGAAACTAAGCAGCCACTTCACAAACGCATGGCCCAACACAGGAGGACCAACTCCACTGGACCAGAGTCAGCAGTCCACCTCCACCTCCACCTGAAGGACAAAGGGCATTCTTTTGAGGACAGTGAAGTCCAGATCGTCTCCAGAGAACATCGCTGGTTTGGGAGAGGAGTCAAGGAGGCTATTTTTGTAAAAATAAAACACCCCTCACTAAATAGGGGTGGTGGACTAAGACACAACTTGTCATCCATCTACAATCCTGTTTTGAGATCTCTGCCCAAATATACCCACCAGGACAATAGGCGTCGGTCGACAGGTGAAGGTCCAAAGACAGGTAACGACGCTCACCGATACTGGGAATAAATATCTCCGGCTTAATGCCAGTCGGGCAGAGATGATGAAGCCTCTTGGATGAGACCTAAAAATCTAGTCCAGTTGATTTTTCTATGTTTTTTCAGCTTACTAAGACCTGGATGACTGAGAATCTGCGCGGACATGGAAAAGGGAGTAAGAACTATTTAAGATATCAGATTCAATTTTGTGCTTTTGAGGTGAGAAGAGTAATAGAAGAAGAGATTGTCCCATATATGCATTAGACAGCACAGGAGAGAGAGCATTAAAGTACCCAAGTAATGCTACATGGCTTTCATATGACAAATATTTCTACTTTTAGTGGACTAATCAGAGTACTGCTCCAGCCATTACTGTTCTTTTTCAACATTCAACCCTATTCTCTTTTACATTCCTAAGTGCTTATCATGACTATATTCTCTATAATATGCCATCCAGGTAACGGTGACCTTTATTGACAGTTATATCTATACATATTTATTTTGGAATTGATATATTTTGATATGTTTTTTCCTTGCATGTGGTGGCAGCTAAGGAATTTTTTTGTTATTTTATCAGAGGTGTCACAGATTCAACTGTTTGTCTTTTATTATGTATCTATACCTTTATAGACATGTCACTAACCATCTTGTATTAATTTTACATTTTTGGTTCTAAATGGTGGTTCAGCACCTAATTTGACATGATTTGTGTCTCTCTTTGTTAGGTTACCACCTCTTTTGTTTTGTCTGTTTTTATCCTATGGTGTACCAGTCTAACCGATACTAGGGAAGTCATCAGACCATGATCATCATATGACTGGTGGACAGAAAGAGGAATCTGTCGCAGCTCAACAGGAAGTCAGCTAACCCAAAGACAAACTTGACTTGGCCCAGACACATTCAGCAGAAAGGGAAATGTCAACGAAAGGGTGCATGTATAACTTAAAATGTCTTGAGTCTTATTGTAAAAAGTCAGAAGAATAACTTCAGTACATTATTTCAAATAAAGACGCGAGATGAACACAGCAGAGATGCAGTTGTCTGCTGAATTGTGTTCATTTTCCTTGATGGTTTCCAACTGAGAAATAGGTTTTCAAAATTCACTGCTGTCATGTTTCTATACACACAGAGTAAAGGTAGGTCATCCATGCTGAAGAAGAAACAGAGGATGAGGTGATTTGTAATGAATCATCCTAAAACAGAAAGAATCCCTAGAAGTGCCATCACATTCAAAGTACTGCTTGAGGTTAGACTTTTTAACCAACATACAGTATACTGTATGCACAGGCACAGCTGCAACATGAGCAGCACTGCTCACATACTGGCTTGTGCACAGTACTTGTGTGTATCTGTAGAAAGTACATCCACGAAGGGGATCCTGGCCGAATCCTGGATTACAATTAGTATCTGCTCCAAAACACCAGTTGTAAACATAGCTAAATATGCAAATGCTTGAAGAGGTTATTATGGAAAAATCAGCAGCAGTGACAAGCTCTTTCAGTTCCTCTTCACGACCTTACGCAGCTGTTGTTGTTCAGGTAATTTTGTCCTATTAGCCACAACTGAAACTGTGGGTCATGTGATACTCAGTCACTCAAAAATACTTCTCTCAAAGAAATGTCTGTAACACTATGCAACACCAAAGGGTTCAATATGAAATAAAATGCACTATGAAATAACAAAATATATGAATACATTGTGTAAAATATATAAATTAATCAAGATTTTTTTTTTAATTATTAAAATTCAGCTCATTATCATGAAATCTTTTATTGGATATACCCTTTTCATCATAGACATTTTTATTTCAAAAGCCTTTGTTTATTTCAAACTGATATTTGTCCTAATGACACATTGTATTTGATATGAATCACTTTTCATATCTGTGCTGTTGCCCCAAGCCTCTCACCTTTCAGCCAGTCATGTCCCCCTGCCTCTCCTAAACTGTCAGGTCAACAGCTGCTGCAGATTCAGCCAGTTAGTTCCTGTTAGCTAGAAATGGCCAATATTATCAGCATAGTTTAGATTATTAGACAGACTGGTATTGGCATTGTTATTCATTGGTATTTAAAAGCTAGCAATGCTGTTACATAGTTAGTCCACCACAGCGCCGGGACAATGCCCCAACTCAGTACAAGGTCAAAATTCTTTAATAACTACATTTGAAGGATTTTTTATCACAATGACTATGTATGTGTTTAGATTAAAAATCAATTAAATACTTAAATGCATTAAAATGCAGAGGCAAATGAACAAGCTACAAAGTTTTATCATTTTACATGTCTGACTGGAGACATTTTCTGCAGTTGTGGGAGGATTTGACTCAGCTGTCTGTGACATCTGCAATAAAACCTGACTGTATCATGCTACCTGCAGTCTCCATGTGGGGATATGACCTTTGCAAAAGTCAATAATGAGTCTCAATAGCAAATGGCAGAGGACTTCAGTAGGGGAAACAACAGCAAACACTCAGCAGAGTGATGAAATGTTCCCCCAGTCACATTAACCATGGCTGTTATGTCACTGAATATATAAAAGTAAAACAGATCAGTGACAAATAAACAAGCAGCTGCCCACAGGCAACCACAGAGTTGGAGCAACTACAGTTTTGGAAATATTACAGAAAGATTACACAAGATTTCACAGGGAGACAGACTGCAAACAGAGGATCAGGTTACATAACCAGAGCTAACTATTTAGTTTCATGAGTCTTTTTTTCAGTGTGATGATCATCTTTAGGGTAATTATAAGCCTGTTGAAGAAATGTGTCATTATTACACTGAGAATATCAGCATCTATTCTCTCTTGTGAGATTTCATATTTTTCCACAGGCTTTTGTTTCAGTGTGACAGCACAAAAGTTGCTATCCATATCCGTTATACAGTAATGTACTGTAGCCTGTGTAATCATGTTTTCTTTTTGTTTTAGGTAGAGAAGCTTTGTGTATACAACATTATTTATATTACAGGTGTATTAGCTTACAGTTTTCTCATACACTGACAAGGTCTGCATGTACTTGCCTTTTTAATAATATTTGTATTTACAGTTACTTAAAAAGCCATGGTCAGTCCTACCGTTGTATGTCACTCTGGGTTTGGTTAAACACAAGACCAGGTGAAGGTCCATCTCATCTGAGGACACAAACTTGGAGCACACAGGGCACTTGAAGCCTGGAAGAAAGCCAGGAATACACACAATACAGTATAATGAAGAAGAGAATTTGACCCCTGTGGACAGAGATAAAATATGTGGAAAACGTCCAATCACTGCATCCAATGATTAAAAACAACAAAGTGGCAAATGTCAATTCTTATGTTTTGTCTTTCTTCAGTACCATCTGTTGTGGTGCTTTTGCACTGCATTTCCTGGGATAACCTGTCAGTTTGCCCAGTGCTGTTAACAAGACACTCTCCAGCTAATGTAGATATTACTACTAATGAGTCAGATCCAGCACTTCTTCCCAACAAATCACACCCAATGGAGGAAGCCAACACCTGGTATTCCCAACCTCTTCTTTTTAACCAGACCTTTGAGGCCTGACTGTACATGGCCAAAATGATCATAACATTTTTATACTGATTGACATTGATAATTATCAATAAATACATTTGAAACCCATTCACATATTTGTTAGACCTCAGTGATACACATAGTGTAAGACTGAATGTAAACACTGATAACAAGAAAACTCCTTTCAGTCTGACTGTCACAGAGTTTAGGATCAAATCCTACATAAATCACAAAGCTGGTGATGATTCCTATCACTTAGTTTTCAATAAATAACTTGATATATAGTCAAACATTTAAACTCATCAATTCTCAGTTTGCACATTGACTGTTGACTGCTGCACATGTTGCTCCCATGCAGCATACATTCTTATTATATTCTTATATATTTTTATTATATTGCTGCATCTGCTGCTTAAAGTGCCTTAGATTTTGTGTTACTTATTTATCTACTTTATATTTCATTTGTATTTTGTGGCATTCATGTGGACGGCAAAGTAAGAATTTCATTGTACAGGGAAACACGTTTCCTAACTGTGTATATGACAAATAAACACTTTGACCTTTGGGACTCTGTGGATTTGGGGTCAGACTGCGGACCGCAGTTCTGGTTTCTGTCCACAGTCCTCTGTCACATTAATCTCCGTGTTTGTGCTTGTGCTGGTAGAGGACCCGAGGTTGAGGAACACAAACACCGCCCCATAGGAGTGAGAAGGGAATTTTATAGCCTACTATTCACACACCATGACTCACACACACACCATTTATATACATAACACTATAATGTATGATATTACTAGTACATATACAGTAATAATTAACAATAGAAAAAGAAGCTTTATTTTATTGTAACACGTACAATGAAATTCTGTTGGGAGCCGAGGGCCCTGGGCCGCTGTGTGCATATGCGCCGCCATCACGGGCAACTTGGGGGGGTTCAGTGTTTTGCCCAAGTACACTTCCACATGTGGACTGCAGGCACAGATTCAAACCTTCAAACTTCAGGATGGGAGATGTCTGCTCTACCCACCGCACCACTGTCAAACAACAATATTATATCACCCTAACTATAAGCTTTATCAAAAAGGAACGTCTTAAGTCTAATCTTAAAGGTAGAGAGGGTGTCCGCCTCCCGAACTGAGACTGGGAGTTGGTTCCATAGGAGAGGAGCTTGATAGCTAAAGGCTCTGCCGCCCATTCTGCTTCTGTGTACTCTAGGAACCACAAGTAAACCTGCACTCTGAGAGCAAAGTGCTCTGTTTGGATGATAAGGCTCTACGAGGTCTTTAAGATACGATGGAGCCTTGTCATTAAGGGCTTTGTATGTTAGGAGAAGGATTTTAAATTCTATTCTGAATTTTACAGGGAGCCAGTGGAGAGAAGCTAATATGGGAGAGATATGATCTCTCTTGCTAGTTCCTGTCAGTACTCTGGCTGCAGCATTTTGGATTAACTGGAGGCTTTTTAGGGACTTACTGGGACATTCTGATAGTAAAGAGTTTACAATAGTCCAGTCTGGAAGTAACAAAAGCATGGACCAGTTTTTTAGCATCACTTTGAGACAGGATGCTCCTGGTTATCACAATATTGTGCAGGTGAAAGAAGCGAGTTCTAGAGACTAGGTTTATGTGTGATTTAAAGGATATATCCTGGTCAAAAATGACTCCAAGGTTCCTCACAGTAGTACTGGAGTACTGGAGGCCAGATGGTGTGACTCCCTCCTGCCTGCAAGTCTGTGCTGAACAACTGGCCCCCATGAAACCTCAGACAAAGGACTTCTCTCTATACTTGTCCTATTAGATCTCAGTGCTGCTTTCGACACCACTGATCACAACATCTTACTACAGAGACTTGAAATGTTATTGGGATTAAAGGAACTGCATTAAGTTGGTTCAAATCTTATTTATCAGAAAGGTTCCAATTTGTTATGTTAATGATGAATCTGCCACACAATCTAAAGTTAGTCACGGCGTTCCACAAGGCTCTGTGTTAGGTCCAATTCTCTTCATTTTATACATGCTCCCTTTAGGCAATATTATCAGGAAACATGGCATACATTTCCATTGCTTTGCAGATGATACTCAGTTATATTTATCTATGAACCCAGATGAATCAGATCAGTTGGTCAAACTTCGAGCATGTCTTTATGCTGCCCATGATGCTCTGAGTCCATCTCTCCCCTCTGTATATGTTGCCATTACGCATCACTAACTGTGTGTCTCCTCTCTCTCTGTATCTTTCTGCAGGTAGCCTTGGCTGTGGAGCTGTACGTTTCTGATGAGCAGTCACCAGCCACATGCCAGGGCCAGGGCATTTATTTGTTGTTGTATCTTGTTGCTTTTCCATTCCTTTCTCTCTCCTCTATCCACTCACCCCACACAGTCAAGGGGTTTTCCTCCCCACTGTCGCCAAGTGCTTGCTCAAGGGGAATTTGTTGGGTTTTTCCTCTATAATGAAAGAATTTCCTCAATAATAATTAATAATAATAATAATAATAATAGTAGTAAGATCTAGACCTTACTTTGTAAAGTGTCCTGAGACCATGTTTGTTGTGATGTGGCGCTATACAAGTAAAATTGAATTGAACTCCCCAGAGACCTATGCATGGGCCTTCTTTGTGGACCTCAGCTCAGTTTTCAACACCATCAAACCCAGACATCGTCCACTTCAAACTCACCCAGCTCACTGTGCCTGCCCACACCTGTCAGTGGATCACCAACTTTTGTGGCAAACAAGAAGCAGCTAGGCAGCTAGGTGAGGCTGGGGAAAATCACATCAAGCACCTGGACTATCAGCACAGGCACCCCCCAGAGACGTGTGCTCTCCCTGCTGCTCTTCTACACCAGTGACTGCACCTAAGGATCTGCTGATACATTTCTACAGAGGAATCATCAAGTCTGTTCTCTGCTCATCCTCACTGTCTGCTTTGGTTCAGTAACCAAACAGGACAACAGACTCAAGTGAACAGTTCAGACTGCAGAAAGAACCATCAGTGCCAGCCTGCCCTCCATGGAGGACCTGTACACCTCACAGCTCAACAGGAGGGCAGAGAGGATTTCTGCAGACCCCTCACACCCTGGACACAAACTGTTTGAACCAACTTAATGCAGTTCCTTTAATCCCAATAACATTTCAAGTCTCTGTAGTAAGATGTTGTGATCAGTGGTGTCGAAAGCAGAACTACGATAGAGAGGGACCTGTTCTCTAGCCAACAAAATGGATGAACTCCTCGTCAACGAGACAAACTCTGACACCTCATGCTCTGCTGCTCTATGCTTCACGGAGACTTGGCTCAGTTACTCCATCTTGGACAGCACAATACAGATACCGGGGTTCCAGGTATACACAGCAGATCCACTGTCTCCCAGGACCTGAAGTGGTCATCCAACATCAGCACCATCATCAAGAAGGCACAGCAGAAGATGTACTTCCTGCGCCAGCTCAGGTAGTTCGACCTGCCCCAGGAGCTGCTGATACAGTTCTACAGAGGAGTCATCAAGTCTGTTCTCTGCACCTCCATCTGTCTGGTTTGTCTCAGCAACCAAACAGGAGAGAAACAAACTCCAGCAGACAGTCAGGACTGCAGAAAGAATCATTGGTACCAGCCTGCCCTCCATGGAGGACCTGTACATCTCATGGATCAAAAGAAGGGTGGAGAGGATCACTGCAGACCCCTCATACCCTGGACACAATCTGTTTGAACTCCTCCCTTCTGGATGGCACTACACGTCACTGTGCACCAAGACAACCAGACACAAGGACAGTTTCTTTCCCTGGGTCATCACTCTGATGAACACTTAACCCATGTTTGTCTGTGTAACAGAATAGAGCAAACTCGCAAGTGCAATATTTTATAAATATAACCATTGTACATACTTGTCACAAAGTTCTTCTCTTCTTTCACTTGGGTATACATATTTAGACTTACTATTGTTTGTCTTTTCATTTTTTCCTTATTTAAATGCACATACTTTTTTCTTTTGCCTTAAAAAGCACACTGAGAGCCACTGTACCAGAGTCACATTCCTTATGTGGTCAACATACTTGGTAAATCCAAGATTATTCTGATTCTAAAAAGTTTGTTTGATGAAAAATACCAGTAATACCAGTCTGGATGGTTCTTGTAGTTTCATATCAATTTCAGGATTATACAGTTTGGTTTTCTATTGTTTGAGGCAATTGTCTGACCACTTAAGAAATTCTTTTAAAATTCAGCTCCTAAAATTACAGATATTTTTTGTGTGGCTGTGTAAGACAAACACAGTATACTCAAACCAGGTAAGTACATTATTTTTATACTAATGGCTAAAATCATGCTTAGTGCTGCAGTATAACTGTACAGAGATTTTTAGACCTTAGGCTGTCATTGCTGCCAAAGGTGTTTTAACCAAGTACTATATGAAGAGTCTTAATACTTATGTAAATTGGATATTTCTTTTATTTTTAATTTACAAAACACTCCAAAATCTGGTTTCACTTTATCATAGTTTATTATTACAGTATGTAAAGACTGATGAAGACAAAAAAGAACAATCCATTCTAGAATCTGCAATATAATAAAATATGGAAACCTTAAAGGTTCTGAAAACTTTCCGTAGCAACTGTATTAAATACAGTACTTTTTTACATTTAGCATAATCCACATACAATTGAGTGACTGGGC